CGTTGAATCTCTTCAGTCGACTCAAAACGTGTCCCCGGAGTGGTCTTTTGAGTTTAGAGAGTTTGCTGAGTGGCACGGTGTGAATACGGTGGTTGTGGATACGATGACGGGTTTCATTTTTGGCGAAAAAGTCACGAAGAATCAATGCAGTGTGAGCTGGAGCAGTCAGTGTTTTCGGTACCATTCGAGATTTGACGCGTTTGAGGCCCAAAAATGGAATTTGTCAGATACTTTTGAAATTCCAACATCGTCAGCAAAGTCTCTAATTATAAATCGACGGTTTTGCAAGCACCCAATCTTTAATTTTTGGACGTGAGCTTCGGTTAAGGTGGATGTGGTCGACTGAGGGCTCTTCGTCTTCAACGCTTCTCTGCCTTCTTTTAAACTGTTTATACCACTTGTAAACATTTCTTTCCGATATAGGAATGCTCACCTAATACCTTTCTGCAACATTCTATACGTTTCCGCATACAAAATTGAATGCAGGTTCTTTGCTCAATGAATTCAGATATTTCAAAAATCGCCGAAATTACTTTTAGCGTCTCAAAGCCAAGCGTAACTAAAACACTCATGAATATTTTGACGTGAAATTTCACAAATATGTCATGGACAGTGCCAGCAACCTAAAAAAGAGAAAAAATTGAAATTCCTTTAGCCCCGGAATTTTCTTACACCCGATTTGGCATGTTGCGAAGCACCTTGTCTACGCAAACAGCCTAGCTTTTATCTTGTTTCTGTACAAAGACGATGAAGAAATGCTTTGCGAAAAAAACGGTAAGGACTATTTGGAGCTTGTCCAAATAGATTTAAAAAAAATTTTTTTTTTTGATACAATGATAGTTTATCTAAAAAAAAAAAAAAAAAAATACAAATATAAATAAAAAATGTTTAAAAAGAAAGAAAAACCGAAATGAAAAATGCTTAGTTATGCGAAATGATAATGAAAACGAGGTTAGCGTGGTAGTCTGCAGTGGAACAAAGTACAAGGTCTGTGCTTTGAATGGATAAGAAATGAGAGAGAGAGAGTGTTTTCTAAATTTAGACTAGCCGGAGGGCAATATTACTTCACAATATTTTTGCATTACATAGGAGTGCAGTTCGCAGACGTTTGCATTTTAGGATTATTGATAATGTAATCAGGCAGAATTTTGATCAAATCGTTATTAATGTTTGGGAGATTGGTATAAAAATTTTGAGCGAGTTTATGAATGAAATTTGGGAGAGTCGGAATATTAAGCAAAGAATGAATAACATTATTTCGAAGGAACCAAGGAGCATTTATGATCATACGAAGTATTTTATTTTGGTGGCGATTTGTTATACACATGTTAGACTTGACTGCTGATCCACAAACCGGACTCGCATGTTATTATTGGTCTCATATATGCCTTAGAGAGTAGAAGTTGAATTTCAATAGAAGTAGGCGAATTACGACCGATGAGAGGACAGAGAATTCGGATGCGTTTGGGTGGAGTACACCTAGACGATTGACATAGCAATATAGGATCGGAATGCTTTCTTAACGTTGTAGAAAACATCAGAAATAAAAGAACAGTACGTGAGTGACCATGCTGTTTGATTTGTCAATGTACATCAACAAAAGCAGCATGGTTAACAATAATAAAAGATGACAACTTCGATTACAAGTTTTATTCAAGCAGAATCCTCTAGACGCTGTAGCCCCTAGCATACTATAGTTCGCATAACATAATTCGGGATTAGAGTGTTCTATACCAGACTTAGCAGAGACTCTTCAGTGTTTGGGATCCCCTATTGTTCCTACTATATGGATCCCAAACACTGAAGAGCTTGACGACTCCACTACACAAATGAACTTAAATAACCGTTGGTACAGACGTTTGTTTGATTGGGTTTGTCGCTCAACGGTACATTTTTTACATAAGAATTACATAGAGTTAATCAATCCTAAAAGTAAAAAATAATTGTTAACTTAAGAATAAAATGACTGACGAGAAAAATGAATGTCACTGTTCTAAAAGCGTGGGGTGCTCGATATCAATCGTTATAATTTTCACTAGTTTCATTCCGAAATGCAGAGTTAGTTTAAAAAATGTCATACAAAGCACCCCCCGCTTTTAGAACATTGACATTCATTTTCTCGTCAGTCATTTTATTCTTAAGTTAACAATTATTTTTACTTTTTAGATTGATTAACTCTAAAAGCGTGTTTTTAGTATTTTTTTAAACTATTAATTTATTTTTTACTTTTTAGTTTGATTAACTCTAAAAGCGTGTTTTTTTAGTTTTTAAACTATTAATTTATTTTTACTTTTAGTTTGATTAACTCTAAAAGCATGTTTTTAGTGTTTTTTAAACTATGATATTTAAATGAGGTCCCTGTACGGAGGACTGCTTCTTGCAATAATTTAATTGTGAGTAAAACAAAAGGCGAAAATATGTCGAGCCAGCCAGGATTTCAACAAGGAATCTCCTAACCAGGCGCGTTATCCGTTGTGCCGCAGTCCCACGTAGGTTTGAATATCTGAAAGATGTCTGTAAATGTTTCTTTGCAGATTATATAGTGTGTATGAGGATAAGCAGATCTCCACTGGAAAAATTATGTGCCGATCAAGATGACTTTTCAAAGGCTGTGTGTTTTAATCACTAATTCTGGCGATCCTAATCATGATGAGATAATATACTTATCAAAATATTTTAGTGTCCTTGATAAGTCTACAACGTTTATATTAAATCTTATCGCTTAAAGTAGGGCAAAAATCGAGTCCAAAGAGTCAGTTACATACATACATACAAACAAACATACAGGTGAAACTAATAAAAGCGTGATTAAAAAAGAACTGATGTTTTTGTTTGAATTTTCCCAAGGATGGTTTTTATTTTTGTGCTGAAATCTACTTGCAATTTTCTAAAACAATTCAATCATTTGAATATGCTAACACATTTATTATTATTATTATTATTATGTTATTATTCATCTATCCATTTATGATTTCTATTTTTGCCACAATAATTTGAATTTTTTTAAACAAAGATTTCACTTATTTTAAAAAAATTGTTTATTATTGATTAATATTTTCTTCAGTTTTTGGTCAAAATGAAAAGAAAAAAAAAATGAAGGATAATTTTTTTCTGAAAAAAAAAATTCAATTTTGCATCTAATTAAATCTTTTTCAGATTTTAGTAAAATAGTTTTAACTTTTACAAGTAAACTTAATTTTTTAACAAGCATTAAAATAATTATTTTTGGAACTTTTATTAATTGTATTTATAATATTTTTTTTGCTCTCCTAATGATATTCTTAGAATGACAGCACAGTCATAAAAGTTCTGATCAGAAAGAACTGCTGTTTTTTTGTCAATTTTATAAGAAAGGTTTTATTTATAAGAAATATATAAATATAAGAAATATATTATATTTTCTGAATTTTATAAGAAAGGTTTTATTTATGATAATTTCTTGCGCTGCTAGCTACCAGCAACTTTCTAAAACAATTCAATCATTTGGATATTCCAATATATTTATTATTTATTTTTGATTGTTGTTATTCATCGTTCTATTTATTTATGATTTCCATTTTATTTATTTAGATCACCGAAGTCAAGCATCATTGGGCGTGGTCAATACTTGGGTGGGTGACCACCTGGGAACACCGCGTGCCGTTGGCATTCACAAATTTGGGACCTAAATGGCCGAGTGTCTAGCGCTCTGGCGATCGGTGCCACAGGTTTCAGGTTCGAATCTTGGCGGTGCCATGGATGTTTGTGGTGGTTCGGAATCCACTTTAAGCCGTAGGTCCTGGTCTCTTATGACTGTAAGAGCGTTACGGAGCAGAAGTCAGACTTCTACCTACGGGTGCTCCCTCACAGAACAGAAGCTGCACCCCTCTTCCCTTCTTCCGTGAGGGACACGAAAAAACAACAACAACATTGTATTTATTATATTTATTTGCAAATATGGTGTTATCTTCACCAATTTCTTGAAACCAATATGGGAATCTTCTTCTTACTTATTTATCAAGCTCCTACTCATTATCAGAGATACAGAATTTTTGGATATATTAATTAAGCTTTGTAATGGGATTTTTTTTTTTATATCAAAATTTGGCTTGTAAAATTCCCATTAAGCCAAAAAGAACAGTAGTATCGAAAAATTGTTAAATAATTACTAACTTTTGATAAATTCTACTCTAAGAATTCTTCCAATAAATCTCGAAAATTTCTTTGTAGAATCACTGTGCTTTGATGACATGGATATACTTGCATTTTTGAGAGTCACAGGCCAGCAATTATAGTAACTGGAGTCCTTAGTTTTTGCGCTGTTCTAACCCAGGGTCTCCAAACTACGGCCCGCGGGCCAGATCCGGTCCGCCAGTGTCCTCAATCCGGCCCGCGACAGCGAATAGCTTATTGTTGCTGTAATAAGTTGGATAAAAACACAGAATGATAATGACACGGTTTTATTGACTTACTAGGTAAAGCATAATACGCAGAAGTATAACAACTAACGAATAATTGAAATGAATCCCACTAACATTATAAACTAGGAAAAATCCCGCGGTTACCCTCGGCAGTTAAGTTGGGGTAAAGAGTATCGCATATGTACGTATATCGATGTTTGGAATGTATATATCCTGAATCAAACATATGATTTTTATCCTGAAAATCCCTCAGGAACGGAAAAAAAGCTAAATTTAGTTAATTTAGCTTTATCGTAACAGATGACGCTATGTCATCTGTTAGCGATAAAGGATATTACCTACCTATTTCCGCTTATGACCACTAGATGTCGTCAAGCGTCACGGTCGTATCGATATAAGCAGCAGTAATTGTAGTAATTGAACCAGCGCATTTAGCAAGCGTGTGCTCGCTCAGAGCGCGTACTCGGCGACTAGTCTAGAAATTATAGATAATGGCAGAAAAATTAAAAAGGTTTTGGCCCTTGGTACTTACTGGAGTAAACAGTACGGCCCGAAGGCTGGAAAGTTTGGAGACCCCTGTTCTAACCAATCCTGAAATTCTGTTTTTTAGTAAATCATTCCAATATGAAAGTGAGCCTGTCAATTGAGCACGAAAATGTTAAATCATTAATGCATGAAAATGTTAACACGAATTATAAAAAAATATATTTACCAATTACAGTTAATGCAAAATGTTCTGCCACTATTTTAAAACAGCGCGGAACAGCAAAAAAAGTTTAACAAAAATGTTAAAGCAGATGAAATAGGTGGCTCAGAGATGCTAAATTAATATTTTATGTATAACAAAAATCAAGCTAAATCTAAAAAAGAAAACAAAAAAAAAAAAATGTTTAGACAAACTATTTTCTACTAGTATAACGATAACACAGATGAAATATATATATATTTATATATTATATTAGAATAGATATTATGGGACCTGAATGGCTGAGTGGCTAGCGCGCCTGACGCTCGGTATCGCAGGTTTCTGTGTCGAGTCCCGGCAGTGCCATGGATGTTTTTAGTGGATCGGAATTCACTTCAAACCGAAGGTGTCGGTCTATTAGCATATAGAGCGTTGCGTGGTATTGTTATCTTCAAACTACACGTGCCCCCTGGGTAGTGCTAAATGGGTAACAGCGGTGCAGCCCCTTGCTTATGGCATAAAGTTTAACTCTCTCTGTATTGCCAGCTGCATTAGAACAAATTAATAGTTATTATTTGAAAAAAAAAAAAACACACAAGGTTTTCCATAATTTTCGAAATAAAAACTAAAATTTAAAGTAAAGGTTTTCAAGGTCTTGTTTAAAATCGTAGTACTGGAAGCTTCGATATTTATTTATCAGGTTTCAAACTGAACACCCTACAATTAAAGCCTAGCTGTCTAATGAAATGACCTCTGACGATCCATACCTATATATCGGAAAATCGCATATATATATATGTTGGAGGGCCATTGTTCAATTAAGCTAATGACATTCTTTGCAGCTTCAGTTTTCAGATACTATAGCTGTTAAGAACTCACGTGTGAGTGTTTAACATCTGTAGTAGTGTCTGTATTGGTGTAGTTCTTATAGATTTTTTTTCTATTTGTTACTTAAATAAGGAGGTATAGTATTTTTTGATCTCACATTTCAACTATATAGTTAACAAATTTCAGTGCAGGCCTAAATGGCCGAGTGGCTAGCGCTCTGGCGCTCGGTACCACAGGTTTCGGGTTCGAGCCCCGGCGGTGCCATGGATGTTAGTAGTGGTTCGAATCCACTTTAAACTGTAGGTCCCGGTCTGATATGATCGTAGAGCGTTGCGGGCATTGTTACTCCGCGTCCGTGGATTATCTTCATGTTACATGCCCCCCTGGGTAATGCGAAGTGAGTAACGTCTGTACAGCGCTTGCCTTAAGGCATCCAAGACCAAGCTGTCTAAGTGTTGCCAGCTGCATTCGAAGGAAAAAAAACTATTTTCAGTGCTACCGTCTACTAGCTATTTTCTTATCAAAATTGTCAAGCCTCAGTGGATGTTTCGTAGCTTGGCAATAAATGCATGTCTCCTGTACATATAAATGGGTTGTTCGCATTATATTAAATACTATGCGTCGTTTGTGAGAAGCTGTTCGCAAAAAGAGGCCACATTTATGAAAAGATAACCCTTGGTTTTTGCATTGCGATAATGCGCCAGCTCAGACTGCATTGATTCTTCCTGACTTTTTCGCCAAAAATGATACACATAACATTTCACAACCACCGTATTCACCTGATTTAACACCATGCTACTTTTGGCTGTTCCCTAAACTCAAAAGACCACTCTGGGGACACAGTTTTGAGTCGATTGAAGAGATTCAACATGAATCGTCACGCGCTTTGAAGGCCATCCCGGCCTATGACTTTTTAGCATGCATTGAGGATTGGAAAAAACATTGGCATAAGTGCATTGTGTTCGGTGAGGATTACTTTGAAGGTGATGAAATAAATTTGGAAGAATAATTAAAGTTGGTCTTACTTTTTGGGCACAGCAGTAGAACTCGAAGCCTCCATAAAAAAAAAAAAAATTATGCAGCAGGCAACTTTACTTTTGAATTTTTGTCCTATTTAAATTTTAAAAAAAATATGAAATAAGGCTTCATAAAAATCTATGTAAGTTATGTAATTTTACTGACTGTAACTTTTAAATAACTACAAATGCCCTAAAGAAAGAAAAATTATTAAATAAGTTATTATAATTGCATTTATCAGCAATAATTTATTAACAAAATATCAGAGCAAAATTCAGAAGGCAATTCTATCTTATAAAAAAAAAGCTAATGATTATATAACTATTTATTAAATATTTCAACTTTTTCTTAATTATTATACTGAATGGCCGGGTGGCTAGCGCTCTGGCGCTCGGTACTGCAGGTTTCGGGTTCGAGTCCCGGCGGTGCCATGGATGTTTGTAGTGGTTCGGAATCCAGTTTAAACCGTAGGATAATCCAATAAGCTACAAATGTCGTTTTCACTTGAATGTAACGTATGGTAAACTTTTGATGGTGATATTCTGGATCGGAGCTTCATTTCCAGCTACACACAAAGCACGCACACGCATATATATATATATATATATGTAGAACTTTCAACCGGTTCCAATAGATTCATCCCGGCCGAACCTACAGTTCTTGTAGACTTCTCTACCAGTCTAACAATGGCTGGACTTTTGCAGTGGGTGTCTAGGGGATTTGACAGACACAATGAAGTCATGCGTTTCTTTAAATAAAGCCATTTAATGATACGATATTTTACAATGATATTTATATTAGTTATTAATTAAGTGCTAAACATATTCTCTCGCTGCTTGACGCAGCCTGCCCAATCTCGCTCCTCTCTCGTTGACCGCCAACTGTTCTTTTTTCTTCTTTCTTCATCTACGGGGACCTGTCCCCCTCTCGTGGGGTCAGAGTTCACAGTTGAATACTCCCCACGTTTTAAACAGGCTCTGTCAAAGACAAGCAAACCGTGATGTGTCGCCGCCTGCTGATTACCCCACAAACAAATTCTACATATATATATATATATTATTTCCAATGACAAGTTTACAGGACAACAGATATCATCAAAAGAAGAAAAATACAAAGAACAAGACAGAAACAAATGACGTCCGTTAATTCATCCACTTAAATCTGGCAATCCAGTAATGCTTCCACAAAGAAACAGAAGGCAGTGCAGAACAGGAAGCAAGTTGAGACATGTCCATTTCTTCTGGGTTATGACACAGGAGGCAGAGAGAATCAGGAGTCAGTTTGATTCTGTGAAGGTGCTTGCGGGGACAATCGTCACCACAGAAAAGCCGTAGCAATGCCAACGATTTTTCTCAAGGCCATTCAGAAAAATCAAATGCGTTCCACTGCAGAACTCTAAGAAAACTAAACTCACTCTAAACTCACACTGAGAGCCAGACTGAAGGCCTTGTTTGCAGATCATTTTGCCGTGCCAGACGTTGCCCAGAGTGCACCACGAGAAGAAAGATCTGCATTGCACTTCATCTGTAATATATCGATCATAAAAAAATTTTATAGTAATAAAAAATACATTCGATTTATCAGTACTTGCTTTGATTAAATAATAAAAATGAAAAAAAAAAAAATATGATAAAAGTTGTACGATTAACTGAAGATAGCCATAATCTTTTTCAATGACGCGACAGCCCCATGGTGGGCGAAGGTTGTCTGTTCA